TATATATATATATATATATATATATATATATATATATATATATAGCCTACTTTCTTTTATTTTTTTATTAATTTCACATTCACTATGAATGAGGGCTATCCAGCACCTTTGTACTGATGAGTAAAAATTATTGTTATTTTGAAGCTAATAGCCGTATTTACATTTTTATTGAGCTATACATTTAGCCTAAATAAAATAAGACTTTTAAAAGTCATATGAAATTCGTTTGGTTACTCTAATTTAAACCAACCATTTCGTTCTAGTTTTTAATTTTTTAAATTTCGTTTTTAACAATTTTTTGACTTATGCAATATTTTCTCCTATCTAAAGCAATGTTTTAAACCATGTTGAACTATACTTTAGGGTCGGGTATTTTGTTTTGAAATGGCGTTATAATGTTCTCGGTGAACAATATACAGCTGCCGTCAAGTCCTTCACTTGTCTTTTACTTGTCCTTTTGTAATTAAATCACAGAGGTTGAATTGCGCGCACGCAATGAAGTCTTTAACCTTTGGAATTATTTACAACCTACTGAATACACTGATTAACGATTGTTTATTAGCGACGGGAACAATTGACCGCGTTTACAGAACTTAACATGTTAAACAGATTATAAATAGACTATCATAAATGTGAAATAAGCGAAACCAACAATTAAAAGCTGACCTATACTACTAATAAGATCATATAAAATGAAGTTATGTTTTATGTTTCCGGTCTTTTCAGAGAGGACCCATGGCGCGCGTCCCGCATGATCAAAGGCTACATGCAGCAGCACAATATCCCTCAGCGCGAGGTGGTGGATGTGACAGGCCTCAATCAGTCGCACCTGTCGCAGCACCTGAATAAAGGCACGCCTATGAAAACGCAGAAACGCGCGGCGCTCTACACCTGGTACGCCAGGAAACAGCGGGAGATCTTGCAACGTAAGTTAATATTTGTGTTTCTTGCTGCATGTGACAGTTTTTTTTTTATTTTACAGTTTGAATAATATAAAACTTCCTGCTTCTGTTGCATGCAATTGAATAGTATCAAGCACCAAAAAAGTCAATTATTCCTTTGATATATGAATTATGAGCATTATACAAAAATGATAAATTCTTTCTCCACAAAAATTATTTCCATTCTTTTTTTTTCTTCAAAATGATGTATTTTTAGATAGATGCAGATCTGTGCAGTGCAGTAAGAGATTTCTAGAGATATGCCTACTGTTTTTTTTTTTTTTTTTTTTTTTAAAATTGGCCTCTTT